AAATTATTTTAGTGTAAGCTTAAATAACATGCCTAATAAATAATCACCATCCAGTAAATGACCAGTAAATAAAATTTTATTAGTTATAATCTAGAAAAAGAATCAACATTGCCACTACAAAATATAAAGTATCTTAAAAGTTTATAATTAATAAAGTTTTATGTACTGGTCATTTACTGAATAGTAGTTTGCAAGAACTCCAGACTGTTTTTAACAGTTAGAAGGTTCTAGAGAATAAATTGAAGATCAGAATTGTATATTTTTGATATTATATGAGTTTCTATGGAGTAACGATGAAGAGATGAGTAAAAAGTTTTGGAGTTGATAAAGTTGATGTTACCTGATAACGACAAACACTCAAACGCGTAGAGCGTTAATACTTTTCAAAGAAAAAGTTTTCTTAATCGATGAGTAATTTGAAAAAAAATACGTGATTGATGACATAAACTTTTATGATTAAAATCTTATCAAATATTTTGTTTAAAGAAATTGAGTAATATCAGAGGAAGTTGTAAAATTTTTTTTTAAACTTTTAATGAGATATGTATTATTAGAATCTGAAGTGATATGTTTTGTTCTTAACTCTATGATAGTGTTTTTTAGCTCTTAACAATCAAAATTGATTCTCATATCCATATTCTTCTTGGTATAATATTATTTTTTATAAAAACTTTAATTACTTTTTATATAATTATCGAGTTTTAGAACAAAAGACATGTCATCTTTATGAAAACATCTGTGGAAGATGACTTTTATTATTAAAAAGTAATAAATGATTTAGTGAACAATTTTTTTACAAAATCATACTACTTCTGATTGTGATCAGAAGTGAAAACATCAACTAAATATTTATAAAAAAAATAAAAATAACAAGATTCATGATATTTATTAAATTAAATAAAAATATCGTAATCAACAACTGGATCTTTTATGCTACTTTACTTCTTTAAAATTATCTTAATTGAGAGAAAATGTTTTAAATCAAGTATGAGCTACTGGAATGTTAGAAAATTTCTTAGATGTAGTAAAACTATTCATGTTTGCTTTTAAACATAATAGGAATAGAAAATTCTACATTTGAAAGAACTTGTTTGATAAGTTAAAAACTCTTTTCTATTGTAATTTAACCTTTCTAAAGGTATGTAATATTCATTTAATAATTTAATTTAATTTATGAAAGAGATATTTTGAGATAATATAAAGAGTTCTAAATTTTATTCCGAACTGATACTTGCTGCATATTTTTCAGCATTATTCAATTCTTGAATGAGAAAAGGTTCATATGACACTGGACTCCAGTTGCTGTCTATTGTTACTTGTTATACTTTTGAATCGATGCATAATAAAACAGAGACAATTGGAGATATCAGCATATTACAAAAAATATATTTATATATAAATTCACTAAGCAAAAAATTTACTCATACTAATAATATATTTCATTTAATTATATTTTATAGTTTCATGTTTTTTCTCTGATTTACTTTCCAGAAATGTTGATAGAAATATCTAGATCCATTTAATTCTACCAATTGACTCTAGAATCTTCAAAACTGTTTGTGAAGTTAGTAAAATAAACTATTTCTTTTTAATGACTTTGTCGGACATTGTTCTCTTAAATCTTAATTAAGGCCGAATTTATTAACTTTTATTGCTTTACTCCAACAAGTCTCTGAAATAATTAAGAATATTATTGAAAATCGATGATAATATCCTTTAATATTCATCATAGATCTAGATCAAAATGATTATCATAATGAGTTTAGCTATGCCTATATGTCAGACAGATATTTGTATAATTTTTGTTTAATTCAATCTTTTTATTTAGTAAATGGCTAGAATGTTTTAACACTCATCTCCAGTCTGTTCAATGTGCTAAAGAATACATTTGTCATGATTTAAACTGAACACATTGTAGACTTTCTAGAAATGTTTCTAGAAGTTTCATGCCTAAAAGCTACATCTTATCAAATGCCCATCTCTTTTGTACAAATACAACTATATCTACTATAAGTAAACCTTGGAAAAAAATTCCATAAGTAATTCACTTATACCTACTGCAAGAAATTTTTATCAAATACTACAATTAACTTATAAAATAGATATTATGTGATAAGTAGTCGAATTCAACTTGTCAGTTAATAGTGACTGATTTTAATTGATATGGGTCATCATTTTATTCTTATGATTTTTTCAGTGTTCAACATATATCATTATTAATATGTCTATTTCATTGTTTCTTACATTTAATTTGAATCATTTAAAGAATTTTCTTCGTGTTCAAAGCATTTATAATAACATCAATTATTAGTCTTAATACTTTAAATTTCTTTGCAACAATTCATCTTGACAGAAATGATCACGCAATTATTATTTTCTTGTCATCAATATGGATGTTCGTTTAATGAATATTTTTCAATGTTTCATTTTTAATAAAATCAGCATAAGTTTTTAATTTTATAACATTTTTTAATAGGATTTTTCATTCAATTTTTTTTCAAGTGATTATTTAGATTTAGAACCTAAACTTATAATCAATTGATTAGTTTATTTAATCTGTTTATTCAATGAATAATCATTATACATTTGTGCAAAATCATTCTTGTCGATGTTAAAATAATTTATAACTTTTCATCAGTTTCACTTAAGTAAATTTTTCAAGTCAATGTTTATTTTTTTTTATAAACAATTGAGTGATATGTAAGACTATAAATGATGCCAAAGAATGCATAAAAAAAATAATATAAAATAGCAACAAATTTTATCTGAACAGAAGATAAAAAATTAATGTTTTGACACTTCTGACGCATAAAAAATTTTCCATTAGAGAATTAAAGAATTTTTATAATGTAGAGAATTAAATTTCAATACATAGCTATTGTCAGCGTATTTTTACTTTGAATTTACATTTGTTTTATTATTATTATGTTTAATGGAATGCAAAACTAACTATAGAAAAATTACTTAGTTGACGTTACGAGATTAGACTTGTGAATTGATATTGAAGTAAAATTGTTATATTATCATAACTATTTAACATAGTATTTGAAAAAAATAATTTCCATGTAAAACCATGTGATAGTATATTTATAAAACAAAGAGTTAATGACTAATGTCCACAATTAAGAAAACTATTCACGGATAGAGGCATCATTTTGACTTATAATTATACATATTTTATGAAGATTTTTTCCATCACACTGACAATTTTTTGAATAAATATCAATCTTTCAAATAAAGATTTTTTCATAAATCAACTTAATCTTATTCTTTTTAATCATGAAATTGAACATATTTATTTTTTTGTATTTGTTGTGATATGTAAAAAAATAGAAAACAAATTTTATATTAATAAGAAACACTTTTTCCTGTCTAAAATACTAAAATAGATCAAATAATTTTAGCGTGAAAAAAAAGATAAATGTGAGATAATAAAAACAGTTCATTTCACTTATAGCATTAAGGTCATTCACAATTAGCTTAATATTTTTAAATAACTTAAAAAAGATTGATGGTAGTAGATATAATCATGATAAGTTTAACAACTGAAATGATTTAACTATTCACAATTGTGCCAATTGATGTAGTAAACGATTCAATTGTGTTCAGTAATTATTCAAATTTAGCCATCAAGTTCATCCTATTTCAATATAGTATTGTTAATAAATTGAAATTAAAGTTGTTTTTGTGACATCAATTATATTGATTATAATGATTTCAAACATTTTTATTTAACAATCAAGATAAGAAATAATAAATGTCTAAATAATAGTATCTGTCAAAATTTCTTAACAAATATAATTATTAGTAGTAAAAATCTGTAATAAATTAATAAAATATTTTACTTCTTTAAATAAATGATAGTATCATTTAAATTTACTATTCATCAATACATTTGACAAATATCAATACTAACTATTAAAATCTCAAAACTATTAATAATAAACGTGTTATCAACTATTTCTATAATTATATAGTGAAACATGAAAGTCGTTAATGAACAATAGACTTATTTCTTAGTTTTAAAAATAGCTGAAAGCTAATAATGACCAAACACTATAGAGAACTTGGTGCTCACGAAAAAATGTCAAACATATTACAGAACTAGCCCTGAATATAAATGAAGTTGGTGTGGTGAATATTAATGAGTTAAAACACGTTTTCAATAATAAATTCAATTAATAAATGATAACAATTATTCATATAATCTGTTAACTTTATAATTACATTAATATTGAAGCTTTTGTTTCAAGGTCGTTGAACACACCAAACAGTTAAAAATTACGTCTGTGTATATGACGTATTTATATAGGTATGAGTACATGGAAATGAATTTTCCTGCTACGATTTCTCAGTAATAGATTATGCAACTAACACTTATGGGGACGTAAATGAGGTATCTCTGGGTTGATTAAAATTTCAACTCACTCAATGTAATACAATAACTTTAGAATAGTTATAAAATGAACATAAAATTCGAATTGATATTACGTAAAAATAGAACATAGTTTGAATTCTTTGAAGTATGATAAATTTTAATAGGTTGATAATGAATGAAAAATTTATTAAACAATAAAATAAACAAAAAATAAAAAATAATTTTTCTAAAAAGTATGATTAAACTACTGATCCCAAATCGTGAAACTATCCTTATGACCTTGAAGATTTTACGACCGCAGCTTGATTCATTATATTATCCGTAATATATTGATTATATTCTCCACAAATTTCGTTGGATTCTAAAACTACTTTGCTCTATTTTGCGCAACATTTTTTTTTTATTAATAACGGGTATATATACACGTTATTTTTAACTCTACGTATGATAAATCTACATAATTTTTTGAGCAAGTTAATTTTAAAGTGTACATTATTTTTAGCGGTGTAAAAATAAAAAATAAAATATTTTATATTCTTCAATTGTTTCATTAAATTCTTAAATAATATGTTCCATTAGCTTTTTTCGACATTAGAAATTGATGTTAAAAAAAAATTCTTACCTTAAATTCATTTTTTTGCCCTGACATTTTCGTTTGATCTGCCATCGTGTATGACATTATATTTGCAACAGCTTTTTATCTTCTATAAAATTTCAAATATCTAAAAAAAAATATCAAAAATACAATAAACACCTTTACGTTACTTTTTATAAGTGATTACTTTTTTTAGAAGTCGCGTATGTACGCGTGGCAACAAGACAGTAATACTATTGTGATTCTTATTGAATGGAAAATAAGTTTTCAGCTTTATTGATAGCACATGACTCTACAATACAATACGAATTTTTGCATAGTTTACTTACAATAAAACATATAAGTAACAGTAGGTAAAAAGTTTTTTCCAAAAGATCTAGCAAGTCTTCAATGCTTATGTATTAATTGTGCCGAATCTATATTTCTTTATACGCAATCGAATTACTCTTATCAATGGATTATACTTCTGTCTACAAAGCACGATAAGTTATGTCGTTAAATTTTACCGACTATTAATAGATACACAAATGAAATAAATTGATGAAGTGCCGTCCATAGCACTTGGTCTATAGTAGATTTACAATATACAGTCAAGCTGACTAAAGAGTAGACATCGTGATTTACTCGAGTGGTTCCGTTTACTGTTATTTCAAACTTCGATCTGTCCGCAATTCTCGTATGAAAAAAGATAAAACAAGCCATGCGCACAGTTAAAAATTATTTGCAACATCATCTGCGCATGATCAGCTGCAGCTTCCACTTCCGATGTCAGATGAATCACCCAATCTTCATCATGAACTGAACAGAGTGGGGGATGTGTTTTGCTCTCCGAAATGAATACGAACGCAGTCTTTTACGTCACAGTTAAACACGACCCAAATAAAAAAACATAACAATATGACAGCCTCCATGTAATCATCTCATTTCAATACAAGTTCAGAAGAAAACAAAACATTATCATAAATTAGATTAGTTAGATTTAGAACAGTTCATAGATCTTGTATAATAATAATGAAGAAGGTTTTCAAATTTAAATTTCAACATTGTTATTGGAGTTAATATTATTTTCTGTCAATCAGTTAATAAATCAATTTATTCAAACAAGTTAAAAAAATTTTCATTTAATTTTGAAATTAGTTTGTTTTCACTCTACTTTAAAACTTTAATTTTAAAGTTAATTAACTTACTCAACATGAGTAGTATTTATATTCAAGAACCACCGACAAGTGGCAAGGTTAGTATTATTACATCGTTCATTCTCTACATTGTCACGAATGTAATTGAATTTTTAATTTAAATAATAGATTCAATATATTAAAAATATTTGTATTTTTTATAAGGTTTTGTTAATAACAACTGTTGGAGATATTGAAATTGAATTATGGACCAAGGAGACGCCGAAAACTTGCAGAAATTTCATAAAACTGTGCTACGATGGGTATTATAATGGTACAATTTTTCATCGAGTTGTAAAACGATTTATTGTTCAGGGTGGTGATCCTACTGGTACTGGTGAAGGAGGTGAGAGTGCAGATGGTCATTCTGTCAAAGTATGTAAAAGCACTTTATTTTTTCCGGTGTAGAATTATTAAAGAATAAAATATTTTTTATTCAGGATGAATTTCATTCAAGATTACGGTTTTGTCGCCGAGGTTTGGTGGCAATGGCAAATGCTGGCAAAGATACCAATACTTCGCAATTTTTCATAACACTTGGCGCAACTCCTGAATTACAAAATAAACATACAATATTCGGAAAAATTGTTGGTGATACAATTTACAATGTTTTGAAACTTGAAGAGGCTGAAATTGATCATGTAAATAATTTTCGATTAATTTTTTCCTTCTTTTTATAACAAATGAAAGTAATTGTATTTAAATAGTAAATGTTCTTTTACAGGATGAAAGACCAGTTTATCCACAAAAAATTTTAAAAACTAAAGTTCTGTTGAATCCATTCGATGATTTGGTGCCAACTATCGTCTCAAAAAAAGAAGATAAAGTCGAGAAAGTACATAAAAAGAAACCAACCGGAGTCAAGTAAGTTGAATTAGAACTGAGTAAAAATAGATTTATATTTTATAATGGAGTTTTTATAATTGTTTACAGAAATTTAAAGCTTCTGTCATTTGGCGAAGAAGCAGAAGAAGATGAAGAAACACTTGATACACTCAACAAACAGTTGAGTGGTAAAAGTAAATCCGCTCATGACCATTTGCAAGATCCAAAACTAAGTTCCTACACAGATACAGAACTTATAGAAGTTTTAAATAACAAAAGTAATTCATCAGATAGTGATAATGAAAAAAACAATGATAAAGAAAAATTAGAGGATCCAGATGAAATAAAAAAAAAAGAGTAATTTTTGGTTTTTATTTTTTTTATAAATTATTATTCAGTACTTTACATGTAATTTAATTATGAAAACATTTTTAATTTTACTCATATTTATAATTTTATAGAGACATAAAAAAAAGAGTCATCGATAAATTAAAAAATGAAAAATCCCACAGTAAAAAAAGTAAATTAAAAAATAGCGAAGACAATAAGGGTAATAGAGAAGATTCTGGTGATGAGGTTTTTTTTACGAGTCGGGAACGAAAGCATCAAGAAAAACTGTATGTAAAATTTTTAATAGTAGTAGTAAATCATTTATTTGAATTGTATGCCAAGTATTGTTTGGCGTTTTACAATACTTCCACCTTGCAAGTTTACATAAAAGAAAAAAATTTTCACATAACAAATAACAAACAGTAATATATAATTAAATTAAATCACCCTTCAACCATTCACCACTTTTACACTCATTCCAGAGCAAGTTGATAACACTCATCCTCAGCGACATTACACTCCTCCCTCGCACTCCATCCTTATTCTTTATTCCTTATTTTCATTTTTATTTTTCCTTTCATTATTTTTGCTTTTCACTTCTTACGTTACGTCTCATGTAAAATTTTTACTATTTATATGACAAATCGGAAATGAATTTTTCCATGTATATAATATATTGATGTGTTTTTAATTGACAGTGGTGCAATAAAAAAAGAAATTAAAAATCTAAAAAAAAGCATACGAAAAGGAGATAAGATAGATCAAGTTGAGGAATCATCAAAAAAGGAAACAGCTAAAACAGAAGTAATGAACGATTATATGGCAATTCAAGAACAATATAAAAAAGGAAAAAAAAGTTCACAGTCCGGTAAATATATCATCTAATTTGAAATACGACTTAATTTGTTCAATGAAAATTATTAGAATTTCTAATTTCTTTGGCATATTACAGGTGATTCTCGAGAAAACTTGACATTACAATTATTAAACAGTTTTAAAAAAAAACTAAGACATGCTAAAGAACATACAGTCAATGAAAGTACTAATGAACCAAAGGATGGTGATGATGATAATGATGATAATGACGAAAAAACTTGGATGATACATTCCTTGCAATGTGAAAGTCAAGGAACTGTTTTAGCTAAAGATGCTAGTACTAAATCTGATGATTGGTTTGAGATTTATGATCCAAGAAATCCAATAAATAAAAGAAGGCGAGGGGAAAACTCTGATCAAAATAAGAAGAAAAAATACTGATGCAAATAGAACTTTTATTATAAAAGTTATCAAATATTACAATATCTTAATCTATTACATACATTATTTTTTCTAAAAATAAAATACCAAAAAAATATGTCTTATTATATTTTATTATTATGGCCATTAATATTTTAATTTTCTTTCTTTCGACCGGATTACTTTTATCACCCTTTTTTTTTACTGTAGTATTGTTATAGAATTATCTTTTAAATCAATTTGAATCATTGAAACTGTATTAGCAACAGTACTATCGTCAGTTTTTTTTCTCGATACATTACCATTGTTCTTACTTTCTACGACATTCTTCTTACCTAAATGATTATCTTCATCAACCCTGGCAATGGCACGACTATTTTTTACTGAAATACTATTATGAAAGAAACTTTTAATTGATTTTTCATCATAAGAAATTCGGTTCGCAGAATTATGATCTAAACAACTATTATCGTTATTATTATTTATTGAATATCTAGAATGATAAATCTTTTGAACACAATTTTTATCATGAGGAATACTTTTTACTGAGACGTTATCATGATAAACGCTTTTAACATTACTATCATCAATTTTTTTTTTCACTGCATTATTGTCATTGTTCTGATTTTTTAGAGCTGTATTAGTGCCAAAAAAATTTTTTATTGAATTTGTATCATAAGATCTTTTAATCGTTGTGCTATTATCAGTCTTCTTTTTTACTACATTATTGCCATTGCTCTTATCCTTTACTTCGGTATTATTTTGGAAATACTTCATTATTAAATGTCTATCATAATTGGCTTTTTCAGAATCATTACCATCGTTATTCTTCCGCTTAACTTCACTACTTTTATGATAATTACTTCCAAATGAATTTTTACCATTACAAACTCTTTTAACTTCCTTATTATCATTACTCGTTGTTCTTATTGCATTACTATCACTATTTTTTCTTTTAAGTGTATTATTATCATCATGTTTCTTTCGTAGTGTATTACTACTATCTTTTTTTTTCTCAAGACTTTTAATATTGTGACAATGACAATTATTTTTTCTGGTATCTACTTTGGAAGAAGTACATCCTTTCCTCTTCGGAAGCATATCATGCATTAAATTATTCTTTCTTGCGTTATTTTCTGTATATACCATCAAACCCTGTAAATATAATTTTTTATTTTGGAAAAAAAGATTTTGTAGAAATATCTTTCTAAAGTTTTGCCTTTACATAGAAGCCATTCATTATTTTTTTTTAAATCAACCGATATCATTTTTAAAAAATTCTATCGAAAAAAATAAGTTGAATAATTTGTAATATTTTTTATACTACTTACTTTTGATTCCAATAAATCCGTTGGCATCATAGACAATAGTTGATCATAAGAAAATTTCTCCAACCGTTCTAATATTTTTTTTATTTCTTGTTTATTCTTTCCATAGCTTCTTGGGTATAATTACATATACAAGCCATTTTTTATAGTTGGGTACTTGAAATGATGCTGTAAAAAAATATATTGGAAATAATATTATCATAACATATCTTCTCATCTATTAATTATTACATTAATAATAGAAATTGATGCACATATTTAATGAATTACTATGTAATTAAAAAATTTTTTATTACATTAAATTTTATTCTAAAGAGTTAAGTATATGTATTTCTTTGTATTATAAAGGCTGATATTTGATTCTATGTCTAAACAATAAGATAAGAGTATGCTTTGATTTTTTATGTAGCAGCATTGGTTCTTATTATTATTCCTAAAAGATATTACAAAGGTGTTTTTAACATCTATTCAATTTATCATATCATATGTCAAACTAAGGCTCTTGTAGAAAAGTAATCAATTTTTTCCTGTTAGCAAAAATTTTTGAGAATAAATTCTTTAACTTTTTTTATGAATTGTAACTGATAAATGATAGTTTTTAAAAATTTTTTGCATTCAATAATTATGACATATTCACGTAATATAATAAAAGATATATAATGTTGTTTACCGTCTAATTAGCAATTATTAAGTTGAATAATAGAATCAAAGAAATATATTTAAACGTAGAAGCTGAGGATTTGAAATTTCATATGTATCACATGTCCCCACCATGAAATCTCATATGATGACGCCATGGTTTTTTCAACTACATAAAGGTAATAAAAGCGTTTCTACATACTACACAATTAATGGAATGGATTTCATGCAAAAACAAACAACTATAATGAGATTTCAAATCCTTAGCTTTTACGCAGTCAGTGTGAAAAGCAAGTGAGTGTTTGCAGCTTAAAAATTCCTTTGTTTGTATCACTCATCTAAAAAATTACTAATAATATCGTAAACAATATTACACCTTATATTAGATAAATATGTTTTTACAATTATATAAAAAAATTTCTTTTTAATCATTATTTACCAATCACGTTTCCCAACAATAGTTAACGTATTTAGATTCAAAAGCTTTTATTGACAGGAAAAACATTTATTCGTTTTTTACGAAACCGGAATTCCATGAAAAGGTAAATTAAAAAGATGTCAAAAAAACCGTTGCAATATCTTAGAAACCTAAGAATAATGGAAACAAATTCTATTACATTAACAACAAAAAACAAAACATTCTTGTTTGAAATTTAGAAATTCTAAATTATTTAATAAATATGCAATTATCGTTTTTTATTCAACAAAATTTTTAATATTTTATACAAAAATTCACTATTATTAAAAATATTAATTTCTTTTGTTCCATGAAAGATAAATAAATTGACAGTAATGGCTCTGATATGTAATTATAATGCCAGAAAAGCGGTAAAAAGAAAAAATAAGATAAGAATCTGAAAATAAGATAGAAGAAGAAGACAGTTCTACAAATGGTAAGCATCAAGATGACAAGGTAACTACTTATAATAATATCGATATTACATATGCAAAATGAAAATTGATAGTTTTAATAATAGATATAATCGTATTATCGATTGCAACATTAATACAAATCTGAAAAGAGCAAGTCTTATATTCATTTTTCATTCTTTCACTGTCTGGCTTGTTCTTAAAAATTTCATTCAAAGCCTTTAAAAAAAAACAAAAAAAAACAAATAATTGGTATATTAAATAATTAAAAAATTCAAATTATTTCAACTAATAATTAAAAAAAAGTTGAGAATCTTGCTCTTTATCTTTATTGTCTCTGTAGTCTTTTATTAGTTTACTTTTAGTACTATGACAATTAATAGATGATATTTTAATGAATGTTTTTGCGAAATTCGGATATATAATAATAATTCGACTATATGAGTGTCATTAAAACATTTTTCATGATTAAGATATGTAGAGTGAGGCAAAATAAGTGCAAAAAAATACACAGAAAAAAGTATTTTTTATTTTTTATTTTCTTCTTATCATTTTACATAATAATAACAGTTGAACTTCTGTATTAATCAGAAAATACATATTACAAGATATTTATTAATTTTTTCGCAATTACAGTTCAATTCAATCTGGAATCACATAGATTTCCACTGAATAAGTATCCAAGTAACGTTGAATAATTAGCTATTGTGTTTATAGAGCAAAATAAGTAGTCTCCTTTGACTTGAAAGGTGACAGTGTCATCCATCTTTTAATAATCAATGGGTAATGTATTAAGTTTATTCAACAATCTTGATGCTACTATCATCAAACTGCATTCTTCAATTCAATAAAATCTAGCAGAAAAACACTTATTAAGATTTCTGATAATTATGCTACCTGTCAATTCCTTAGGTTTTATATTAAATAAATAAGCTGTACTTTTTCATGTAAAAAATGCACGCATATAAAGTCAATAACTACTAAAAAATATTTTCATATCACAAAATGTATTTTCTTCAATATTGAGAACGAACCGAAATCTTCGTAACTTTCATTTTAGGAGGTTTTTTCCGAGAATCAAAAATTTTTGTTACATTTATAAACTTTATTACGTTATTGCAAATGCGATTGAATAGAATCATGAAATAAGATTTAAACATTTTTGTATTATATTATTATGAACCTCTATATGGTTTTCTATTTTATGTACTTTGCACTGTTTACAAGCAATGATAACTTAGTGGAAATAAATAATTTTTCTAATCAGAGAATGCTACACCAACTGGTATGTCAGTCTATTGGTATTTGATTCCATTTTTCTCTTTCTATATAATATTATAATGAAAGAATCGTAATGTTGATAATTTGTTTACTGCGATATAATAGGAGATAGAACAGATAATTCTCAATAATAATAATATAAATTTTTTTTTTGCAATTTAGCATATTACTAAAAGCTTATCATTTCATCTAGAAAATTAATGGTAAACTGCGTAAAATACATTAAAATATCGTAAACATTATCAAATTATTATAAATATTTATATAATCTATATTTTTTATAGCAATATTGATTAGCAGTTGATTATTTAGATAATTGTTATTTGGAAAAAATATAGTATTATTGGTATTTATCGAATCAAATTATTACTAATAAATAGATCATTTTTATCAAGTATTAAATCAAAAATCAAATATTGTTTAATAATAATTTGTTTTCAACAATAGATACTCGAAAAGTCAGATCGTAAAATTTTTTTTATTTTTTATCTATAAAATGTGGATATATAACACTAGAACTTGCTAAAACACCGCAAAATACACAAGAATTTCCTTTAAAGTTTAATCAAGTTAGATTTTATCGTTCTGATTATTTGTTGATTTTCACAATTTGTGGTTTTTTATAAGAATTTTAATACATGGACAAAAAATAAAACTACAATAGTGATTTTACAATAACTGATTAATAATTACAATTTTTTGTACAATGAATCATTAATTCGCACATTTAAATCAAATCATGACTTTTTACATCACTCATTTGTAGTAAATACTAGCTCATAGCATAAATTTGCGGTTAGTAAATGACCGATTTTGCTCACGATCACGTTTAAATCTCAAGCCCGTGAAATAAAGCTTTAGTCTGTAAATAGATAATCACTCACGAAGACGGTCGAACACACTCGTTTACACTCGAGATCAGTGTGTGATAATCGGCTATTTGCCGCTCTGGTGCATCATATTATTGTTTGAATTTTATGCACGGTTTTCCAACGTCTAATTTACGGTATGACACCGATTATGGATTCCGAAAGTTCATCAATAGATCACCTGATGATATCATGATGGCTATGATTATCCATTGTAATCCACAATCGGTGTCACACGGTATATCTTTCGTCAGAAAACCGCAAAAAACTGATTTAATTAGCTGTTATCTATTCATTTACTATTTAGTTTTTCTTTGCGGCAAAGTTACTGATATTTGCCATCTGTCGAGTTCAAAGGAACTACTCTTCTTAATGGCCAGACTCACAGTATTTTTATCTTTTATACTTTTCATAAATTATGACATCAAAAATAGAATTTCGCTATTTAATGTCATTTAAAGTAAATATTTTGCATGTGACTTAGATTATTTCGAGTTTAAAGTGAAATAAATATGTTCTGAATTAAAAACTTGCTGTTTTTTTCGTAGAATTTAAAGTATATTTGCAACAAGTATGCTATTTTTCACAGAATATTAATTATCATCAGTAACACTACATCAAATCTAGATTTTTTATCCTGAATAATTCCTGTTTGGATATTTAAAACTGTGATTCAGTGAAAGTAGAAAACTTATATGAATATTAATATTAAATAAATAGAAAAATTAATTATAGCGATGTATATAAAACTGATTAAAATTAGTTAAAAACATATTTTAATGATAATTCTAAATTTTAATTACATGAAACTTGGATGAAGTTGTTGCGGATGCATATGTCAATGTTGTGAGATGTTGCATAGTTTTTTAAACTGAATGATAGTAGGATGTTGTAATGGTAGTTTGAGTCTAGAAGTATCTGTAAAGTTTATAATAAATGTTGACTTGGTTGAATCTAATTAATATCAACTTAATAATAGTTTATTTTTATTGGTTTTTTCACCACTCTTAACATTTTTTCATTCTTTTTATTCAGATAATAGTAAATATTCATTATTTATTCCTACATTAATTACTACAAATTTTGAGTCAGTTATCCGTTTGCTTAACTTTGTTTAACTGCTGCAACTTTTGGTTGTTGAAATTCATTGGTAACGTTTAGAGTTCCAAAAAAGGCAAATATTTATGATAAGTACATTTATCATTTAAATAAAAAGTATGTAATCGAATTTTTAATTTCATCATGTTTGTAGTAATTTCATAAATAGTAAATTCTAAAAGCCTTTATTGAGAAAATCAGCCAGAATTTAATGGAGTTACTTATAGTTCTACTAATGAAGGAAGTAGCAATAACAAGAAGTTCGTAGCTGAAGTTTCGAAAGAAAGACAAATAATTACTCTGAGAGATTACGTAGATCGTATTTTTACCAACAAATATGGAGCTCCCTTTTACGAATTATATAGATCATATCCTGAAAATCCATAGAATTAATTGTAGTAATTCTCAGCCTTGTAAGTTACAATGTACAAAAATATTTATTGTCATTGAAACGTAAATTATCGATGCTGAAAAAATAATTATTACTCTCATTTTTAATTATCTTATTGATAATATTGATATATGTACTAAAAGAATAATTTCGGCGACCAATTTGGAATGTTTAGCAAAAACCAAAAGCTGTTTTGTCTATATGATTTCTTGATTTTTTTTTTTGAATTTTTTATAATGATATCATAAGCTTGTAAGATATTAAAATATATACTGATCAAGCAAGACTTGAAAAGAAAAACAAGCAATATGAAGAAAAAAACAAAATAGGAGGAAACAAAAATGATTTTTTTCTAATTTACATTTATTCAGACAAGAAAATAAAGTATAAAACAAAACTGATTTTAATTTTAACTTCAAATAGAAACAGAGTGACATTAAATGACTTAAGAAGTTGATTTTGATTATAAACATATTTAACTTTAGTATGAATAATTATTTGTATTACTTATTTACTTCGAAAATATAAACCAATAGTTAACAATCTTGAACTTATAAAACACAAATTGTTCTATCTTCAGCCTGTTCAACCATTTTTGCGTTGAAAACTATTTTGAGGCTTATAATTTTTTTCTCTCGTATAAAATCAGTTGCTATCTTCTTAGTAGAATTTAATTGTAATGCTTCAACAAATACAGCTTTTGCAACATCTTCATGTGAACTTTCACTGTCATCATCCTCAGATTCTTTTTTATGTGCTTTTGGAAAGTGACACTTGAAAATATTAACATCAATTTCAGGCTTTTGTTCTTCAGCACTCTTGATTTGATCTAGGTCATTTGTCAATTCTTTAATTTTTTCAAGTGATTTTAAGAAAATAGATTTAGTTTTCTCTATACCAGCATCTCTATATGAAAATCCATCAAATAAAACATTATGTGAGATCAAATCAGTTGGATTACAGGTGACACTTAGCTGTTTGTCTTGCAGTTTAATATCACAAATAACATGAGAAGTAAATTTAGCAGTGAAGAAAAAACGTCCATCATTTTGATTCAAATAATCACTTTCCAACTCTATGTTATAAGTTAGTGTTCTTTGGTTGAAGTTACACTCTAAATTACGTGGTGATATCACAGTTCCATCAACATAAAATTGAATTTGTTTTAGATTATCCATAATTTTGATACTACAGTAATTAATCACAGAAATCACCTTTATTTCAGACTTCAACTTTTAATTATATATATTTAAAATATTTCAGATAAATTTTCTTGATTGTGATAAAATCGTACGATCTCACGTGTTGTCGTATAAATGTTTATTCTCTTAAGTTACGAATTATTTTTCAGAAGCTTCGATCGTGTTATCATCCCCACTAAACTCAGTGCCTTTCATTCATTATATTTTTCTTTATAGCATAGTCAAGATATTCCTAAAATCGGAATTTCTCAGAATGGCTAAAATTTGAAGGGAATGTACGAAGAGTTCCCAAAAAGAAGTGTTAAAAATTAAAAAATGCATTATTAATAGATGACTTATTACAAATAATTGCAATTAATCCAAATATTGTTAGATGAATATGGCTGTAAGTTGTATAAAGTAACCATAATTGCACAAAGTTTTGAATTTATAGGATATTTGAGGAAAAATTTACTCTAGCAGAAAAAAAAGACCGATGAATTAGCAGCAGTTCATAACATTCAGAATATTTTTATAAAAAATGTTCAAATCAATTACAGTAATAAGCATAATTGAACAAAAATAAGCGTCAACCTAGTTCATTCATATTTGTAGCAATTTGTAGTGTTGAAAGTGTAAAAACTGCTTATGATGAAAATAAGATTTTGTTGTTATAATATTTAAAGAAAAATAAAATTATTGTCTTGTTATCTATACACAATATGTTTCATATCTTGTATCCAATTATTCACGAATTAAAAATGATCAAATTGTTTTGTATAACAACATATACTGATATAAACCGGAGCTTCATTCTACTTAATTTTAATTTCAATATACCAAGCTTAGGTCAGAAATTTTCCAAAATAATTATTTATGACACTTAAAAGTTATCATTTTTTTCAAACATGAAATCAAAAGACAGGATTATCAAATATGTTAACAGAAAGCATCTGTATTATTAATCAAACAAACTTGTTTGATTTACTAGTAAAAAATATTTAACAAATTAAAAAATGAAAAAAATGTTTTTTGGAGTAGAAAAGACGATAGAAATTGAAATATTGCTATGTAAAATGTGGAAAACCAGTACGTAACCAGGATAAAAAAAATTAAACATTGTTTTAAAAAAAAGGTGAATAGTATGAAATAGAGAAAATTATTTATCAAAATTCATCTATACTATTTAGTGACACATGAATGAATATACAGGGTGTCCAATAGGAAGTTGCTGAAACTAAATAAGTGTCTCTTCCCTCCATGAATTCAATAGGGGTCCCTTTTTCTAAGGCGCATACCTGAGGCCCCGCAGTTTCATTTCAGCCGTCGTTGAAGCAAGTACGCACGCGTTAAAATGAGTGAGCTCACCACGAAAAAAAAAGTATATCTTATTGAGTGCTTTTTCTCGAGGGGAAAAATTCATAGTAATGCATATAGAGGGTTCCGTACTAAGTTTGGAACCCATAGAGTTGCCAGCGAAAACACTCTGAAAAGGTAAGAATGTAATATTTATTCATATTCATGTATCACACAACTTGTGCTTCAATTCAATTAAACTGTATTGAAGTAATTTTACGTTAATTTTTGTAGAATAATCGATAACGTCGTGAAGTATGGTACACTCCAGGACCGTAGACACGAGTTGCCAGGCCCATCTGTTACGGTGACTACACCAGAGAAGATCAACGAAGTTGAGAATTATTTCAAACAAAATCCAAATGATTCGATTCGAAAAGCTGCTCAAGCATTAAAAATAACCGAATCATCATTACACAACATTTTGAAATATTTTTTAAAGTTTCATCCGTATAAAATAAGCACTCATCAATTGTTAACTGAACATGACATGACGAAACGTAAACAAACAAAATTATCGGTTTTGGGGAACGGAAAATCTCAACATATCGCTAGCGAAGTCCCTTCATCCACAGAAAGTAACGGCATGGGCAGCGATTTCAGTAAAAAGGATTTATTTGCAATTCTTTGAATCTACAGTAACAGGAGAGAGTTACAAACAGCTTTTGGAAACGAAATTCTTCCCTTATGCAAAAAAGAGGGGATTGGTTAAAAATTTTTACTTCATGCGAGATGGAGCGACGCCGCACCGGACTGATGAGGTATTTGAAGCTATTAATCGCGTATGTGGGACTCGAGTAATCGGTCTGGGGTACCCTAGATTTGTTCAAGGTGGACTAGAATGGCCTCCGTATTCACCGGACCTAAACCCTTGTGATTTTTTCTTGTGGGGTTACATCAAAGATCATTGTTACCCTGAAAATCCCAGCACAGTAGAAGAACGGCCATCCAGAAAGTGGTTCGCGGCATTACGAACGATATGTTGGACACAGTTTTTTACAATTTTAAAAAGAGAATCGATTTTTGTGCACAATCTAACGGTTCGCACTTCGAAAATATATATCATTAATCATTGTACTTTTTCGTTATTTTTATAGAATTTAATAAATTGACATAAAAAATATTTGACTCGATTTTATTTATGTGCGTTTAAAACTGCAGAATTTTCTATATTTAAAGCAATTTGGCTTTTCTAATTCTGTGCACGTGTTTTGAAATGACAGCCAATTAGTTTTAGCAACTTCCTATTGGACACCCTGTACTTATGACCTTTCATCATCACTTTGTGATTCAGTTATCAAATTACCAAATAGAAAATACAACTAGCAGAACTATAGCAAATAAAATTGATTACAGTGAATCTACAGAAATTTTATCGTGAAATAGTATTTTTTACTAGTATTATTTTCATCAAATGTGTAATAGACATAAAATAAGAACAATGGTATTAGGATCTTTGAACACAACCAGCTTTGGCGCCTATTTTGAAGTTCGACCATATGATAGTCAATCAGTTACTACTAGTGACTTCTAGCGGATTAATATATGTAAGGATCAAGTTACAATAAAGAGTAAAGGAGTACGAGAGAAAGTTGAACATTACTGCCGAAGGAAAACTCTTGAAACAGGAGAAAATCATCAACATATATTTTATTAACATGAAGAAACAAGAGTATATATATTTACAAGTTATAATCGAAACACACATGATCCAAAACAAAGCTATTTACTGAATGTTTTTATTCACTTCCGTATGTGAACACTCACTTTTGGAGCATGCTTGAGCACACAGTGCGCACGACGACTTCCCCCACTTTTACTCCGATAGCACTGTTTGTGTTTTTTACTAGAAACGAGAGAGCTAGTGGGAACATTACTTCTTTCACTAATTTTGCTAAACGTGAAAAATTCATTCGTATAGATGATACTCAATCAGCTGATTGAAATATTCATGATCCATAAAAATAGTGCATTATCTAGTTGTAAAATAAATTGACAGATAGTAATAAACATTGAAACATTAAATTTTTTACTTGATATTTTTTAACATAAATATTCAACATGACGTTTCTCTGTTATAGATGATCAACGGAACAAAGAAAAACATAGACAAATCTAACGTAAAGTTATTCAGTGAAGTGACATTACTTTTCAATATATTTGTACTGTTCCATTAACATCTATTGTCAACATTGTTGATCTCAGTTAATCGTAATATGACGCAGTAGACGCATATCAAAGGTTGCATTAGAAAGGTGTCGTTTGTGTTGGATATAATGAACAAGTAGTTTTCGTGATATTGTAAGTATTTATTTGTTGCTACGCAGTTTTATATTGTTTTAATTAATCTTAAAAACATATCTCAGCATTATTTTACAAGTGTCAAAACAAGAAATCTTTAATATTGATGTATGACATATATTTGTTATTGTGTTGATAAACACTGCTTTGTTCTGTTTAACCTTGAGGAATGAAATACATAGGCTGTATTAAGAATGTAATCAAATGAATATCAGTTAATTAATAATGCTCAGTTTTGTCAAGATATTTTGAACTCAATTTTACTACAGTTTTGATCATGTTGACATATTAAAGGAAAAATACATTACTATATTATTTCTTTGTATTCAAATGCTAAGATTTGTAAGTTACAAAGTGAATTTTAATTATGGCGACTTTGATTAGTGTAGTTCTTATTTGTTACTTCAATTGACTCCTCTCATTATTTTTTACGTTTTTTCATTGTTTTGTATAATTAACTTTTCTACTAATTTTATTTAATTAATATAAATCTTATGATATATATCGTATGTTCTGTTTGACCTTTACGTAATTTTAAAATATAATTGAATAATAATACGTTAAATTATAATTTTTTTTATATAAATTCAAACAAGTTTTTAAAAAATCTAATCTAAAAATCTAATCTAAAAATCTAATCTATGATTTGTAATTAATTTATTGGTTAATAATTATAAAAAGGAACTGTACAGATATTTTTAATAACAAGTAGTTTTATTTATTGTTTTAATGTTGATCAAAAATAAAAATGATATTAAATTTTTTAGGAAAATTATTAGTTAGTGTAATCGAGATGTCAGCAGATTCACCGAGAAGGAGACTTCAAAAAGGTGTTCAAGTTGTTTTACCTCAACCTGTAAATGATCGTTCAATAATTGACAGTGTAGCTGGTATTATCAATGATATTGTTCCACAAGTAAGTAAATGAAATTAGTTTATTCCATTATTTTATCATCTAATTTAAATACATAAAAATGTTTTTAATATTTTAAAGTAAATTAACTTTACTCAATTTAGTATAAATTTGATAAACAAATTTATTGTTGATGTTTAAAAGATGATAAAATATAATGATTATATTTTCGAAAAATGAAACTTAAAATAAGATATTTTCTTAAGTTAATAAAAGAAAAAATCAATTTCCCTTTATATATAACAATTGAAAGAATTAATATAAATACCATTCTTGTAGTAAAAATTGTTAGTTTGTAGTTAAATATTTTATTGCATAATTTTTTAGAAAATGATATACATATTCAAGAAAGTTTTTTAAGTTAAATTTATTAACCAAAATGTTATAATAATATTATGTTGAGTATTTTATCTTAAGGATTATCAACAAACTAAAAATAATATTTAATTAATCATGTTTAGAAATATAAGCTAATGAGTGATATTTTTATATTTTAAAATTTAAGTATTCCAATCAGTTGTTTTCGTACTGAAATTTAATGTTTTCAATAACGAAAATCTCCATTGTTACTTGTTTTTTGATATTTAAATGAATAATAATATATCTTATATCTTATCTTTATTTGAATTGTGATTCACCTATTATTCATATTCTAGTAATTCAATTATAAATTGTTCAAATATCCTCGTTATTCATATTTTATTTTTCAAGGTTTTATTTAGATCAAAAAAGAGGTTATTAATTCAATATTTTTATTCCGTTGATAATATCCATTGATTCCTTTTCAGGCCTATGCTAGTACACCTGCAGCAGATAATAAGGAATCCATAACATGGGCTCGTTTCGAATATGCTGACATCAATGATCCATCATTTTTTCCTGATCATGTAGAAGGGTCTAGTGCTCCTCCATTACTTCTAGTGTTAGGATATACCTCTGGAGTGCAGGTTTGTAAATTTAATCAAAATTTTTGTTGAAAAATGTAAAGATCAAAACTGTTAACTTTACCAGAAATTTATGTTTATTTTTTTTATTACAAACTTTCTTAAAAATTGGAAAATTTGTTATCAACATATGATTAATTATTCGGAATATTTTTGTCATCAACGGCTAAAACACTCATCTGAGAAATTTTATTAAATTATTAGACTTACTGTAAAAGTAAATCAAAAACAAAAACTCTAGAATATAAAAACTTATCTTTAAGTTCTGTTTATAATATGATTTACAAATTTTTTCAATTAAAACAGATTTTTTTGATCCATCATTAAAATCATTATCATTAGACGTCGTTTTAATTTATAAAATAAACTATATGAATTGGAATTTTTATCACACCGAGAATTAGATATTTCTTACTCATTTTTATTTATTCTAAAATTGATCAATTTGCTAGATTTTATTTTGTTAAAATTAAAAGTTAAAAATTTTAAAAAGTTTTCGTTTGTTATTTGTAAGTTATTTCCAAAATTTGATTATTACATGCCAATGACGTGATATTGCGATGATAATGTTTTAGATATTCAAAATGCCTTTGTTTTTCTTTTTTCAACAATCAAACAAAACAGCTGCATAACAAAAAAAATGGCATCACACACGTACATTTTATTATTAAAATTAATATTGTAAAATATTTGTATGTCGCCATCTAATGACTATTAGATTAACGACAGTTTGTTAAGTTAACGACGATTGCTTGACGATTAGGTTGTTTATAGCAACGAGGGGAGAGTTTGTTTATCTCCAGTTTTTGACTGAGACTGGAGTTGACCGCACGTATTCTTTCATTTTAATTGATTGCTGTCATTCTTTGATAAACTTTTCCTTTATTAATTTATTTTCCGAAGTTGTTATTTGGTCTTATTTTACAATATTAACGAAATTTTATCATATTTGTATAAAAAACTTCTCTCAATAAATTAAAAAGATACTTTTTATCTTACTATGAAAGTTTTTATTTATTCTATCATAAAAAGAGAAAAAAAAACTTATATGTATAAACAATCTTCTTTCAGTAAAAAAAAAAATTTACATTTTTTGTATAAGTTTCATTTAATATTAAATTTTTATATAATATTTTATTGTCTAATAATAAATGTATATTTCTATTAGGCTTGGTTAGTTGCTGCATCTGGAGAAGCAACTGAAATTTTATCATGGCGACAAGGTGTTGTTCGTACCTTAAGAATATTGCCAAATCCAAAAACTGGTGATGATAATTCTGATGCGTACGAACAAAAACGACCTGTTATTGCTATATGTGATTCATCTGGACCAGGACCACAATTTTGTAGTGTCAATTTTGTTTCGTTAAGAACTGGAGAACAGCTCAAAAGCATTAAATTTAAAAATCCAGTATGTGATATTTTGGCCAATAGAAGATCCATTGCAGTTACATTTTCAGAGAAAATAGCAATTTTTGATGCTAGAACTTTTGAAGATGCCCTGACAATAACCACATGCTATCCATGTCCAGGTCCTAATCCTAACCCAGTTGCTTTGGGAACCAGATGGTTTGCGTATAGGTATATAAATTAATTCAATATTTTTAATTATAACTATAGTTCTAATATGAAAAATATTAGAATAAATAAATTATTTTCTCGTTGATTAAGAATATAAAGTAATGATTTAATTCTGTTTAGTGAAAAAAAGCTAGTCCCATCTCGAAGGAGTAGTGGAGGAAGTGAAGGTGAAGGTGTACAAAGTTATACAGCTGCAGTTTTGTATGCAGCTAAATCATTAGGTAAAGGTTTACGAGGTTTAGGAGAAACTGTGGCTTCAAGTCTTACCGGAAATTCAATTACTCCAATGACATTCAATAATCCAGTTGGTGACGTTTCACAACCCGGGGTAGTGACAATTCTTGATCTTCATGTAACAAAACAAGAAAAAGATCTTGATGATTCACCTACTGAAACTATTGTAGCCCATTTTACTGCCCATAATGATGCAATAGTTGCTATGACTTTTGATAAAACTGGAGCAATTTTGATGACAGCTGATAGAAGAGGGCATGATTTTCATATTTTCAAAATACAACCCCATCCTGGTGGTCCCACTCTAACTGCAGTTCATCATCTGTATGTTTTGCATCGGGGTGATACGACAGCTAAAGTTCAAGTAATATATCATTTTGAATATTAGTTTATTAATTTTTTATTTATGAATAGAGCAGTATGTCATTATAGTTTATAAAGAAAAAGTAATAATCATGAAATACATTAAAAATTCTAGAAAATTTTTTCTAAATTTCAAATTCTATACAATAAAAACGGAGGCACCATTACATGGTGTACTTTGAGTAAATAATTTCATTTTTTATTCTTGAACTAAATATGAGATATAATCTACTCCAATTGACATAAGTAAATTTATATATTTTCTTACTGTTTTATCATAGAAATTACAATCTCTTCATAAATAAAAGTAAATTTTATAACTGATAATATCATAACTAAACACTTTTCCAAAAACATTAATAGTTTAAGATTTATTTAAAGTTGAAAAAGGTTAGAGTAAGTTTTAATCATTTAATTGAATTTAATAGGCTTTTAGTTTTCAGTTGAGATGTGCAATACCAAAGTTACCTATATATCAGTTACAATTATCTTAGTTAATAGTTTAAATCTTTCACTAGATTAAGTCAATTGTGTATAAAAACGATTTCTAAATCAAACGTTTTCATATTGAGCAATTTATATAAAATAATAGAAAAAGAAAATTAGGCTTTACATTCAACTAGAAAGTACATAATTTTCCACAGTATAAAGTGAGACTTGAGTTCATAATAGTCTGTTTTCTAATTTAGATATTATAATTTTTGTTTTATGTGTTATGTAGCTAAAGAGATATGTAGAGCCTCAATGTGAATTTAGAGCTTTTCACTCTTTTTCATAGAAGCATCTAAAGTACTTTGCAATAGAATGAACACAGTCCGTCCAGCACTAAATTCTAAATTTAATTTGAGTAACCGTAACTTATGTTTCAAATAATCCCAATGTTTTGATAAAAACAGAGATGAAAGACTCTAGACCTACTTTAAGGCCCTGCTCAAGTTATTCTTTTTTTGCTCCAAAAAAGTTGAGGTTTGCCTAAACCTGCTCTATATAAGAAAGATCACAATGTCGTGGAAATAATTTTACTTTTTTTGTCAAAATAGTAAAACTGTTAAGAATTCATCATTAAATATTGAATTAAAAATAAATATTTTATTTGAATTGAAATTTTTTATTATATTTTTAGGATATGGTTTTTTCGAATGATACTCGATGGGCAGCTATAGCAACGGTTCGTGGAACAACTCATGTTTTTCCAGTAGCTCCATATGGAGGATCGGTTGGCATGAGAACACATTCCACACCTCACGTAGTCAATAAACTTTCAAGATTTCATAAAAGTGCGGGTTTAACAGATGATGGTACTAGATCACATTCTCCTGTATCTCACAGTGAAGTACCTCTATGTGTTTATCCATATTCAAATCCAAGACTCCCACCGTATCCTCATCCTACAATTCTTCATCCACTAGCACAAATTCGTCAACCGTCATCATTAAATCATGCCAATAATCAAAGTCAACCCAGGTAATTGAAAAATATTTATGTTTCTTTAAAAATATTCTCCATGTTTTTATGATTTTTTTAAAAATTAAATTCAGTTTGAGTTTTTAACTTCTCTCAGTGTTCTGGATTTAAAAAGGATTTTACAAAAGAAGTAAAATAATAATGATTATTAAAAATAATTTTGCAGACCACAACAAAGACAACGTCTTCATTCTGAAGATAATGGTATGCTGCCGTTGAAAATTTGTGCTTGTTTTGCTGCACCAAGAGCATGGATATATTCACAACGTGATCTTATAAATAAAAATATGAAAAGAGTGACGGAATCATTATTTATCATGTCCTGTGATGGCAATATGATTCAGTATGATTTAGAACCAAAACCAGCTACAGGTATTGATATTTTAATTTTTTATAAATAAATGATTAAAAATATTTGAAATTTTACCTTTACTATGTTTTAATTATCTTTTAGGAGTTCCTAAGGAAAAAGTGTGTGATGATACTATGATAGAACTTGAAATTGAAGCAAAAGGTCAATGGTCCTTATTACGAGCATCACATTCTCCAGAAATGACTCCTCCCCTTTTATTATCAAATCCGCTGTTGTGTCATCCTGGGGTACCAAGAAGTATTCAGCACATAGATTGTGCTGAAGATCGTTGGTTGAGTCAAGTAGAAATTTTAACTCATGCTGGACCACATCGTCGACTATGGATGGGCCCGCAATTTATATTCAAAACATATAATACGCATAGTGGGTAAGTTTCCTATTATAATATATTTACATATTATCATAAATAATATATTGATTATTTTATTTCTAAATTTTAAAAATGTTTTGCACAAAATTAAAAGAATCATTAAAAGCTATTCAATAATTTTTTTATTTAATAAATTAAAGCTTCAAAATGTATTATTAATAGCTTTAATAGCTGTAAAGAATAATAGTTGCTTTTTTCTTAAATATTATTCCAATTACTATATTCTAATAATAACTTTCTTGTTTATTAGGTCAAATACTGCAGAGTCGGAAGCTATTGAAATTGGAGTTATTGGTGGTTCTCGACCCGCGAGATCGAATCCAGTGAATATGCCTCAGCCTGCTGCGCGATCTTTAGTACCTGTTGTGATTGATGGATCTGGAAGTAAGTAAATCACATTTACTTAAAATTTAAAAAATATATTTTAGTCTAAAATGGACAATAAAATATATCGACTCTATTAAGCATTAATGTACCAAGTGCCAGAGAATCAACTTCAAATAAATAGCTAAAAAGTTTTCTTTAATTAAGCCGATATATAAATAAAAAAAAAATAATAAAACAATAAATAATTTTTTTTATCATATGTTTTTTTCAAGTAACATGAAGTGAAATGATCGATTAACTTAATTTCTAAGGCGAATAATTAGTTTATTTCAACACACTGAAAGAAAAGAAAGAAGTAGAAAAAGAAAGAAAAAAAGAATGAGAAAATTTTAAATAAAAATTCATTTGTATTGTTGAAGGCTAAAGGACGTGATTTAATGCTTTTTGCAAAAATACTATGCATGATAATGAAGAAATATTAATTAATAATTTAACCACAATCAGCTTAGCTAGTTTTCTAAAAATTGTTCTAAAACTCAATTCAAGCGACGAAGTTGAATGGAGCAAAAACTATTATATAATTTAACATAAATTAGAAGTTTTCTATAAGCTTAATGCCAGTCGACTATTTCAGCCTCATTTATGACATTCGAGCATTAACGTAGAGAATATTATATTTTCTATGAAAACCACTCTATTAGTTTATTCTAGGCTCCTGTACTATAGGGTGTGCAAATATATGGAAACGATATCAGAACTGGACTAACGTCATCTCTATTGACAAACTTTTCAGACAACTAGAGACGCTTAGCCGTCATCAGAATACCAAACTCAGTTAAGAGTAAAGATCTCAGGTAGGATCGAAGGGCTATCCCAGAATAGGAAAACTTTGAAAATAGCGGTAGTGAAACTTGTTCTTAAATAAATATATTTTATATTTTCCCGGGTATAAGACCCAAGGAAAATGAACTATTACAACGTCTCCTTTCTCTTACTTCATGCCATACCAGCATGTTGGAGTTTCTCAAAAATGGTTAGCAGGGAAAAGAATACCTCCCTATACCTTTCCCTCTCTTAGTCTATCTCCGGATCTTGTCCTAAAAGTATTTATTGTGTGATGGCTGGCTTAAGATTTCATTTTGTCAATTTCTTCGGACTAGATAGAGTGCATAGTAAAAATTGCAAGTTAAGATTCATCGATTATTTTATTGAACGCTCATGACTTGAAATTGTGATAAACTACACTAAAGATACTATTTTACAAGTGATTTTGAATTATTAATTGTGTTTCTTCGTTCAATACAACTGTCAAGTGTTTGGTGATCTCTTGAGTATTCAGTTTTTTATTTAAAAAGTCACAAATATTAAATTTGGAATCGTTGAGAGAAGAAGAGAAGAATTTTTGATGACTGAAAATCATTTTCACCATTCGTTATAGTCAGATTTGTGATATAATAATTTAATGGCGTCGAAACGTGTTTCAACTTCAAATTCAGGGAATGAAACTCAGGATGATGGTGATAGTGAACCATTAGAGAAAATAATGAAGACTTCATCATTGGGAACTATAGTTGATATTTTAATACAAAAACAGAAAAATCTAGAGCAAAAAGCTGCAAAAGAAGGAAATAACATTTTTAACCTTGAAAAAGAATTTTCGACTTTGAAAATTATTTGTAGGGAAATAACTTCAATCAATAACCAAATAAACAAATTGAAATTTGAAATTGAAAGGAGTAATTCTCAAGTTGAACAATTGATAACGAAGAGTAAATTATTCAAATGTCAGGTAAACCATTTCAAGTTACTATACTATAGCTATAGCAAACAAACTTGGTATAGTAGACATAATGTGTGTTATTTATGTTCGAAAAATATGAAAGATATTTTTAAAAGTATGTGTTGCAATGGAATTTCATGCATGACATGCACAAAGGACTTAATATTAAATAAAAAAAATTGTCCATTTTGTAATTCAGTTTTGCCAATATACAATCATTTTGTCTCAAATCATCTTGTTATCCAACAAATTGACAGAGAAAATGTCAATGAATCAATGTTTAATGAAAATAATCAAACGAAAGAAGTACAAAGTAAAGATTTTTGCCGCATTTGCGAAATAGCCTTATCATTCAAAAATGGAGTATTCATGTATAATGGCACGCCTGTTAACACGGATATGGCTTTAATGATGTATAAAGACCTTACTGATCAAACCATTAAATTTATGAAATTTGCACCAAAAATTCCAGGTATACTTCTTGAAAAAGCTATTGAGATAGAGACTTTGATAGAAATTGCTAAAAATTTACATCATCATTTCACTGGTCCGGGAGATTGGAATAACAGAGTTTCTTCCTTCAATGTAAAAGTTGAAAAGTTACACAATGAAATTGAGCTAAAGAAAAAATCTCTGGTGGATATTAATAGAGAAATAGCAGCCGTTTCATTTAATTTAATATTATTTAATTATCTTTGTAATAGATTGGATATTACTGATGTTGTTAAACATATTTCAAGTGTAGGATTTAATAATGATGAAACGCCGATAATGGTATTGCAAACAAAAACATGCTGTGTTTGTTTATTGTCTTATCAAGAACTTGAGGTTAAAAAATGGGTTAAATTGAATCCATGCCAACATTCACTATGTTTAAGTTGTTGCCGATCATTGACATGTATTTCGCCTCAGCCTTCTGTTGTGCAGATTAATAAGTCATGTCCATTATGCCGAACTGAGATTCACTCTTATGAATATTATGATGAACAAACTAGAAAAATAATTTATCAGATAGTATAATTGAAGAAAGTCAATGGTATATTCTAAAATCTTATTAATGTAATCAAGTAAAACACTCTAATCTGAATGCGAAATTTTCATCTGAGTCAAAAACTATGTTAGATAGTGCACAACGCTTTTCAAACACGAATGCAAGGCTAACTTTTTGTAATTTTATTTATTCACTCAATTTTAATGTTTTTTATTAATTTGATGTTCATTTATTAATATTAATTTGAATTAATAAGTCTGTGAAATAAATGTTATTTTTATAAAATTGATTTTTAATGCCGTCGATTTCAATGTAATGAGTCATATTTCCGACTAATCCTTCATTTTAATTATTTCTAAATAAAAATTTGTGACTTTTATTTAATTCAATAGTTTTTGATTATTTTAAACAACTTTACCTTAATCAAAAAATTAACAATTATTTAAAATTATGAAAAATTCTGATTTAATCGCATAAGATGTTATGTAACTTTCAAGTTAAAACCTGAATAATTTAAACAATATTTAATTTTTTCATAATTACTTATTTTTAAGAAGACTATTTATCCTAAAAATAAATGATCGAATATTAAATTAAATTTTTACGTTTATAATGAACACCAAAACTTGTAATTTAGATAAATGCGACATTTCTGTGTTACACGTTTATTCTTAGAATAATAATATCTTAAAATATGACTACGCTAAAATAACTTGTGATAATCATAGGATAAAAAAAATTGTGATTACTTAATTTGGACTTAATAGTCCAGTCAATAGATAGAATAGATTCCTCACAGTATGTAAAAATATCTCCCTAAAAAACAAAGAAATAAGCTTATTTGTGTTTCTATGGATCTAAGTAAGATTTCTCTATAGGCTAGAAAAGAATCCAACTATCGAAAATAAAAACAATGTATTATTTATAAAAAAAGGTCATTTTTTTGTTGACTATGATTTGAAACAATTGAAATAAATTTACGAAAATAACTACACATTTTGATTTATCCTTTCATTAACTACATTGATGGGTTCATACTACTACTAGTATTATTCTTAATTGATCTTGGTAAATAATATAAACGTGTTAGTTAAAGATGAAAATGACTCTGAATGGAAGAGTAATCAAATTTTCAAATCTTTCAACGAAATTGTCACTATTGATGGGTTTCTAATGATCTAATAATGAATAAAATCACAAAAATTAATTTCTATAAGTTGAACTTTGTATTAGTATGTTAGTACCTACATGTTCTTCAGTGTAGTTCTCTCTTTAAGGAAACAAAAAGTAAAGCTTTTACTAATTACATTCATAAGGTGGATCCCCTGATACAGACAATAGCTGTATTCTAAGAAAATTATACTAAAATATTTCAAATGAATTTTCTGTCATTTCTCCCATATAAATTATCTTATCACACCATTTTTTATATATTTTCATTGATGTATAAACTTTAGCAATAAAATTAAAAAAAAGAAATCACATTTATGCACTATCACGAAATTTCTTCCAGTGTTGAAACTAAAATAAAATATATAACATACAAATGAATAACTTATTTTTCTAGCTTGGAAATTTTCAAACTAAAGTTAACTTTAAGGATGTACGATCAATCTTGAAGATTAAAAAATAAAGCCGAAATTTCTTTACTCTATATGGATTTATCATCTTTAAGTTGATTTTCAATATTCAAGTAAAAATACCCAATTGTTACCTAAAACGTTTCATGAGAATTAACTACTCTATATATTATAATGTTCTGGAAAATTTTTCTTGAAAAAATAGAAATATTAATTAATATAATCGTTAAAAATCCTTTGTTTTGATAGATTAAAAAGATACTACAAAATATTTGATTAAATATTTAATGTTAATGTAAGAGTTGAGGAGTTTATTTATGTTAGTTTACAACTGAGACTAGAGCTGTCCAGACATCTTTTCTGATTCTCTAATCTGTCAAAATCACTTCTCTTATATTTAATAAACTGTTAATAAATTGTTGATGATTTTTAGAGTGTTGATTTCACTTTTCTTGAAAATATTATTAGAGCAATAGTATCTTTATGTACACAAACAGCTTTGCTAAATGTATTAATAGAACACGTGACCAAATTATTCCCTTCACTTCTCAATTGTAGATATTTATCTCCATCTAGTGACTAGTTCGTAGATCCTTAAATGTTGGCTTCTTGATGATCATCTATTTCAAATTTTTACATTACCAATAGAATTTATTTTATTTCTTGAATGAAGAAACGGTATTAAACTTTGGTATTATTGTTTATACAGGTAGTTATGAACAATCGCCAAGATTTGTGGAGCACTATGAAGATGCAGTAGAAAATGATACTTCAAATATTGGTAATGGTGAAAATCAACTACGTGAAGATCTTGCTGAAGCAATGCTTGAAACTTCGACAGCTTCTTATCGAGTGCCAGGTATGTAATGATTAATTTATTCAATGCTGAGATTCAACTTACACATCTTGTACATTACAGACGATGTATGATTTTTATATTGTATATTATTTTTAACACAAATAATTAACCATGTGTTGTACTTTAATGAATATTGAAGTATTTTTTATTTTTGTTGCAAATTTTTATATTTATTAATTTGTTTTAATGTACATTTTCTACGTTTGTACATTGACCTTCCCATCGAGTTGTAAACATTCGTAAAAGCCAAAATGAATTTTACATAATTTTTTATATAGTATTTATTTATTAATTTTGATATTAAATAATAGTTAAAATTATTTGAAACATTTTTGAAACATAAGCTTTAATCTATTATTGAAATTATTTTTGATTCTTGAGTTATTTACATAAATCAATCTCTTATTTTTTGCTTTTAAGCTGAACAAATATTTTAAATTCAAGTAGTATGGTGTATAATAGAATAAAATATATTGAAAAATTTAAAATAATATTATTAATCAATATTGCACGAAATTTCTGTGAGAATTCTCAATTTAAGTTGACTCTCTTATTTGGGACTTGTAGAATTTTTTGCATAGGTATAACATAAGTCAGTATTCTACTCCATAAAAAAATGTAAGCCATGTGTTCAAAACCACCCGTTTACCACTTTTACATTCAACTTCAAACTCGTGGTTTGATATGGTCTACTTTATCTTCCTTGGTTCCTTGGTGCATGATATACTACTCTACTATACAGTTGAACTCCTCTAATTTTTAACCCCATAATTTTTACTTTATGTTCATTAAATTTTAATATGCTATAGTTTAGTTTATGTGTTAACACAGGATCCCGTAATTTTTATTCTTAAAAAATTGCTCGAAGGCGTAAAAATTAGAGAAGTTCGACTGTACCTATGTAGAAAGTATTTTTGCTTGGCATAAAGTAACAAAATCCATTTGTGCGAAAACCCAAACAAGTTTTTTCCCCTACAATATAGCACGTGCTCCTATTCTAACTTTCAATTCAAGGAAAATTTGGGATTTTTTTGATAATGTTATAAAAAAATTAATATAGCATAAGAATAGAATCAAAAGTATTTAAGTAAACGTGTGATTGATTATGGTGAGTTAGTACGTTCTATTTTACTCTTTAGATGGTCAATACTTTATTTTTCAATTTTTTTAGTTCATGAAATTACAAATTTTCTTATAGTTTATTGAAACTCAATTCTTCAACATACCTACTGAATTAACATTGTTATTCTTTAAAAATAAAGAAGTAAACAGCACTGTAAAACAGTGGATATTAGCCGATTTATTTTTCGAGAGTAATAAGTATTTATAAAAGCATCGTGAATACGATTTCGTATTGTTATGAAGTACATAAGTAACTGGAATACATAGTCCAGTCAATATCCTACAATTTTTTTTATATTTCGTATAGTTTTCGAAATAATTTCATAAATTAGAGTTAGTTTTGTCCGGGTAGTCACTCTTGCCCGGGGTTAGACAGATCTTTTTCTTCCTGCAAATTTTTTTTTAGTACCCCTAATAACTTTTTAACATATTTCTAGCCGTTTGAGTTTTTTCCGATTTCAGAATAATATTGGACTAACATGTCAATATAATCGAACGTGTTTAAATTGTGCAACTTATATTACTTTTGAAATAAAGGAAACTCATAGCTAAATGAGAGATAGACTTATTTTTTAAAAAAACAACATGACATCTACTTCGGAACTAATCTTGAAAGTAAATGCTACTAATAAAACTGTGAATTAAATTCAAAAATTAATTCTTAATTTTGATAAATTAAAAAATTTGACATGTCATTTTCTTTTAACATTCTGAAGAACTCTCTCGAAATGTCTAGAAAGCTCATCTTCGTGACATAATAAAACTGCCCGAGTAGAAATTATCGGTAGGTATACCTTAAAACCATTAAAACTTTAATGACGAATTGCTGTCCAATCAGGACCTAATATAGACCTAACAAAAATTTCTACTTGAGTACTTTGAAGTAATACTTTTATGATTTTAGTTCATCATAAACTCTGTAGTTTTTAAATAATTCTTTTAGTGTCTATTTTCCAAACATCTGTGAATATATTTATTGGAGTAAAATTTACAATTCCTTTCTTTCCGTGTTAGAGTAACGATAAAAGCAGTCTTAGATGAAATAAAAAAGATGAGGGCAAAGCAAAAAATATCACATTCAGCAGAAAATAAAAATAAAAATAGTTGTAGATACTATTTTTTATTTATTTTATTTACAATAAACAGAAATTGTCGAAATTATAAATAATCACTGAGAAAACGAAACTTCAAAACTTGACTAGCAAAACACATTCCAAATTCGGGATTGTCTGGACGATATTATATTGTTCTTTTAAAAAAAAAACTTTTTACGGTATTTTTTATTTTAGTCTGTATCCTATTTAAACTCGAATAATTATACACATCACCTTTTTTAGAGCTTCATAATTTTCTGCCTTGTAACATTCAATAATTAAAACATTTAACATTAATCTTATTTTTTAATAATCGTTATATTTTTATATAATTATAAATGAATTTTCAACGATCATTACAAGCAAAAAACATAAAATTTACTTCTTCTCTATGTCTATGTTTATTTTTTAATTCAAAATTATTCTTTTATTCTATAGTCATAATTTCTTATTTAAATTATAATTAAATTTTTGTAATGCTTCAGAATGAAGAATATTTTTAAAATAATCATATTTTTATACTTGACAATACTTATTTGCTCTCATGAAAAGCACGATGAGAACATGATATTTTAATACATTATTATTTATTTATGGTTTTTATAGGAACTTAATCCGATAGGGAGAAATTTGTTTTTACTATTTAACGCATAAAACTATCAAAAATATTAAATTTTAACACTTCCACTATTTTTGTGATAAATTTGTCGTAAAATAGAGTATTTTAAGATCAGAACCACAAAGATTCATTTATTTTAGATTCTTTATGGCCAAAAAACTAGCTGACTGTGAAAGTATATATATATATATAATGATACCTTTTATAATTTAATATTTTGAAAATGTTATATTTGTAAAAACGTTGAACATTTTATTGTGTTTAATATAACAAGTGGACTGTAGGAATTTTCGAAGGCCAGAAACAATCTTTATATTAAAGTTCATATTGAAGACATCTAATTATTTTGGAAAAATACGTGATATTAAATACTTCTTTCAGAAAAGATTTTTTTAGTTAAATTGAAATCTTATTATTTCAATGTATATATTCATTTATACTTTGTTGATAATAATCAACTCTTTATTATAAAAATTATACCATAAGATAAACAATCTTTTGTACAACAGTATATCCAACTGTTTATCCAATCGATACTACATTAATTAAGATACACCATACAACATAAGTCTATTCATCAGTATTATGAATGGTGATCTCTGTTTTGTATGTACTAGTAATCAACAATGGATTGTTCACTTTTAGTTGAAAGCTCTTGCGCTTGGTCTGGAAACTGACATTGAAAATTCCATCTTTATGATTCAAGGTTTTTAGCACTATTTTCAGTGATGTGTATGTATCTATGCATGTATATACATGAGTGGAAACTGTCCAGAAAATAACTTTTAACCCCGAACATATTTGAAGCATTAGATTATTTCGAACCATAAATGTATATACACTAATTTAACTTATGGCTTAAATCAATCAAGAGATACGGTAGTGTCTCGTGCGCCAAGCATAAATCGCCGCCATTTAGCCCTTACGTCACGACGAGGCACTACCGTGTCTCTATACAAATTATAAGATGATTTTTGCAGGTTATAATTTTTAAATTAAAAATTTTTTCCTTATTATAACATAAACATAGGCTGAAATTAAGAATTTGCTCGGAAAGCGATCGTTGATTTTCGATTAAGCATACTATGAAGTATTATCATTGCTTCATTCATAATATACGAAATTGAAAAAATTTCGTTGCGCAAAAATGGAGTAAAATGAGAGTTTATTTATGGAGCAATCATACGTTTTTTTTATCAAGTTGGTGATCAGAGTTTTTAATTGCTATAAAGTTCTCTCACTAACAGATTATAAAGTTGGTAACAAGTTAATTTTGCTCGAGCGCAAATATACAAATAATTAAAATATTTTCTGAACGGATTTATTTTTTTTTAATATTCCTTTTCAGTTGATATGTACAAAAAATGGTGAAATCTCATCAAAATCAGCCCCCTCCTTCTGGGCTGTACAAAAATGTGCGCCAAACATAAATAACGACAATGATGAAATTACAAAAAGTCCTAAAATCATTAAACGCCAATTATTTAAATCTACAAATCAACAATATTTAAAATGAATTATTTTCTTCGGGTTTTTTTTTTTTTGAAAAAAAATTTAGTACGTTTAATGACACAATAAACATAACAACCAAAAACTTGGCGTGACTGTTATTTATTAATTGGCTTAAATATTTTCAATATTTTCACAATTTCATGCTTTTATAAAATCTTACCAGTCACGCCAAGTTTTTGGTTGTTATGTTTATTGTGTCATTAAACGTACTAAATTTTTTTTCAAAAAAAAAACCGAAGAAAATAATTCATTTTAAATATTGTTGATTCGTAGATTTAAATAATTGGCGTTTAATGATTTTAGGACTTTTTGTAATTTCATCATTGTCGTTATTTATGTTTGGCGCACATTTTTGTACAGCTCAGAAGGAGGGGGCTGATTTTGATGAGATATACTTTTTCTTCTTAGGCGTGAAATGTACTATTTTCACCATAACCTCATCAGAAATTCAAGTTGGTTTCTTGTTTTAGAAGCGTCATTTGTTATCTTGAATAGAAAAACACAGACTAATTACTATTTCCACCACAACATTGAGAACAAATTTTAACTTTTCATGGAAATATGTTTAATCAGAGAACGGAATGGAATATCCTGACCTGAATGTTGTTTGCTATCCTAGCATATGTCTTGAATGATAATTTTTACCTCAGACTGAAATATTCTGTTCCGTTGTTCTGGTGAACAATGCACGATTTTCATTATAACTGCGCTGAAAGTTCAGTAAGACATAAAATCAGGAATCTCACTTTTAGAATGAATGGAAATTTCTCATGTAGTTCAAATCAGCTTACTTTTCTTCTCGAAAGGTGAAATTTACTATTCATGACTGAAATTTTCTTTGTAAAAGATATTTTTCATACTAAAAAATGAAAAGTCAACTGATTCGAACCTTGTGTGAAATAATCAATTAGTAACACTTATTTTGAAATTATCCAACTGTTCCATCTACTAAGAGTTATATGCTATTTTTGACTGTACGAATGTGAAATTTTTTTGTATCAATCAGAAAGGTAAATTTTCTGCACGAATCTGGTGGAACAAAATTACTTTTAATTTTAGTTGTTATCTTACCTATAATTTAAGACTATCAATTTTTACTCTCTAGGCGTTAAATGTACTCTTTGAAGTACAGTTATAAACTTCCAAAAAATAGTTGTGGTGGTATAGATTAATAATATTCTTCGTTTAACAAAGCAAATAAAATATAATCCTAGCATGATTTTTGTGTCTTGAAATAATAATAGTCATTGTCAAGATTATGTAAGTCAAAATGAATAGAGACTTTAAAAATCTTGTTTCAATCAGATGTTTTACAAATGAAATATTTTTTATATTTTATATATAGCGAAACAATTGTTTAACAAAATTACTGCAAATATTTTTAGCTAGAAATTTTTTACTTATATGATTTTAGAGGATTCAATTAATCAAATTAATTCTAATAATAAGTGTAAGTTGACAAAATTACTTAGTACAATTGAGAGAATGAATAAAAATAATAGAATGCTGTTTGTTAAGTCCTTCGTCTGATCGGATCTATTGACTTCAATCAGTCGATATAATGATAGTTTATATTAACAATGTTATTGTACATATGTATGAAAAGTATGTGAATAATCGATAGAAAAGAGCTGCGTTTTTTACGTTTAAACCATGTCAATTCTATTAATAAGAAGCTGAGTATTGAGAAATAACTTTGACTCGAGTTTAAAGACAATTTATTTAAACTAAAAATGTAAAATATATGACTTGGGCATTAAAATTTATTTAATATTTTTGTTTAATGAATTTTTCTCCAAAACTCATTTTAAAAAATAAGCTCACTAGTTAAATTAATTGATTGAAAAATAGAAAATCTTATTCAGTGATTTGTTTTGTTCAAGCTTTAATTTTTAACCAGTAATAATATTTATGTATTTGATGAACTATACCTACAGCTGTGAATGTCTGATACATTAACATTTAAACAAAATTGAATTTTATTTGGACAATTAATTAAAATCAATTAAAAAAGACGATTTTAATCCAGTTGTTGTTTTGAAAATCTCTAACAAAGCTTGCCCTTTTTTTTTTACAAAGCAGATTTCCATCAATGAGAGCATTACATCAAATATAAATTCTTGTAAACCCCGTGTTTGTTTTTTAAAATTAAATTTAAAACATTGATAAATCATTTTTTACTATAAATATCAATGAGACTATCTTGATAAAATACATACAATATTTTTGTCACTACTTGATTAATAAATACCACGCAATTTTACATTAAACTAAATAATTGTTTAATGAAAAGAAAAAAAAAGAATTTGTTTAGAGTACGGAGGCTATAGCTCGTTATTGATACCTGCCAACGGCTTTTTCTGTTATTAGGGAGACGATTGGTAGTTGAAAGGGTGGGACAACCGGTAACTAAAGTCGTCAACCCTCTGGGCACCGTAATAACTGTCTTGGCTGATGAAGAAGACGCGAGTTCAAAAGAAGAATATGAACAAGAAGAACAAGAATATATTCCAGAGGGACTTAAAAGTGTATGTGCTGAAGAAGGTCCATCATCTCTTGGTGATTTTGATACTGAAGGAAACCCACTTCGTAATCTCACTAAAATTTGTGCTGAAATAAACACAGCAGATGAACCTGCGATAGATAGTGTTCCAGATGAAAGTATTAAAGAAGTAAAAGAACAAAAAACTCTGTGTGTTGAACAGGTTGTCATGAGTTCTTCTAACACTTCTATTGATTTTGAAAAAGAAAAATCTTTTCATGATATATCTACAAGTCTTAATATTTGTGCTGAATCAGGTGAAATTCCTGATAGTCCTATGACTCAAGCAAAAGAAACATGCTGGAAAAGTAAAGATTTCAAAGAAAGATCTGAAACACAAGGAAGTTTGACTGATGCTAAATATGTTGTTAGTTACGATGAAAAACGTGTAGTTTTAAAAGAAAATATATTAGACACTGATAATGAAAAACATCGGCATTCAGAAGAATTAAAAAGTCCAACTAATAGTGAAAACTTGTCCAAAAGGTCAAGCAAAAGTTCTCACAATTTTCGAGGCAACAAGCGACTTATAAGTGTTCAAAAAGATAGACCCAAATATTTATTACGAGAACACGGAGATAGCATAGTGATTGAAGATAATTGCACTCCTGTTGAAAATAAAACCACTGATTCACATTTAAAAGAAGATAATAAAAGAGCATTAGTTGAAAAATTAAATCTAGAAGAAGAATCCAAAGCAGCTTGTAGAAAACAAACAACTGCAGTAATGGTTGTAGAAACTCTAAAAAATCCATCTGATGAACTGATAATACCGTTAGTAGAACCAAAGATTGTTGATGAAAAGATAGTAAAAAATATTCATCAAAATATATCAGAACCCATGGAAGCAGCTACAGCATGTGGAATAGCAACACTTCCATCAAATTTATCTGTACCAGCCGATGACTTGAACTGCGTCGATTATCATGTTATCGAGCCAAATATTTTTCGACTAAAAAATACAATGTATCCTCATCAATTTGATGATGATATGGTTCATATTCCTAGTCATGAAGATATTTTAAAAATTATTGACGTCAAGATGGAACAGTGTGAGAATGAATATCTCGAAACGTCTTTCATACATCAAAGAAAAAGCAGTAAAAGTACTATTTCAGATGATGACCTTGAACATATTCAAACATCAGAACTGTTTGATTTGTTTGAAAAAGCTAAATCACTTCTTGTTGAAAAGAATGATAAACCTAATATACCAGAAAGTATTCAAACTCAAGCTAAATCATCGACATCGTCAGACGACGAATTAGAACATGTGAATTCTGAAACTTCTAGTTGCAGTAATCAGTTATCACCACCGTTGACCTTAGTACAACCACCAAGTACAGTAGAACAATCTGTATCTTCTAAAACAGTAGGTAAAAGTTTGTGGAAAGACGAAAGTATTAATAAATCATCAAATAAATCTAGAACGTCTCGGAAACGTAAAGATATTGTAGTGATTGATAGTGAGCCTGGATCACAGCCTGGAATTTCAGTGATTGTAAAAGGATTTGATAATGTAGAAAATTGGAATAAAAGTAAAAGTCCAGAAAAGGATTTGAATGAAGAAATTGATCGTTGTATTGAACCGAAAAATCAAATATTAGCACCAAGTTGTACATCTAACGCACAAAGTTTACCTAAAAAGACACGGGTGAGGACATCAAAGAGCTCGACATCTAATTTAGTGGAAATCATTGATATTGATGCTTTACAAAAAGCAGAAATGGAAGTTACTAATATTTCTCCAATACCAGAATGTCAGGTTCTAGAAATGTGTCCGGCAATTTCTACGGCTAAATTGAAAAAATCTAGACGTAATAAAGATACTAGTACTGAAAGTGATAATACAAAAAGTGTTTCAACAAATGTGAATGAACCAAAATCTGTAGATAAATTACCGAAATCTGGTGATTGGACTCTGAATATATCAACACTAGAGTCAACTAGTGAAATTGATAAAAAAGCAAAAAAATTAGAATCTTGTGGAAAAGTATTAGATCCGTTAAAAACCTCACCGACTTCTAAGGATAAAATTATTAATGAACCTGAAATGCCGAAAAATCAGAAAGAAAAATTCTCACGTTTATATTCTACGGAAATATCAACTGAGGATCATCTCCGAAATTCTAAATCTCTAAAAATTATAGAGCCTCCTTCAGAAGATACTTGTCCGGTACCCGAAGAAACAGCTCTTATTGCAGCTTCTTGCTTGGAAAGTTTGAAACCAACCCAAGATCCGGAACCTGTTGTCAATGAAGTAAATAGTTTGGATATTGAGAGTAAAATTCATTTGGATGAAGTGAAAAATGTGTCTATTGAAGAAGCTGGTAAAAACTCAGAAGAAAAAGAAAAGCCAAAAAGGTCTAGTTCTTTAGAGAAATTAATTCCTCATGAAATTCCGATGGATACCGAAGAGGATACTGCTATGAAAGATGGTGATAAAAATAATTCAGCAGCTGTTGTCTTACCGACTTGGTCAGCTGTTGCTAAGAAAAACAATAGATCCAAAAAGAAAAAACGTAGATGAGTAGAAAGCTGTGTAGATATGCCGAGAGCCAGTCTTGCTCTCTACATTCTTTTCATGCAAGTTGCTGGAATAGATTAATTGAATAGAGTATTGAAATCATAATGTGTATAATTAATCCTCAAATGAACTTACCTAAAGCTGAATTATAAAATAATGAAGAAAAATTTGTGTTCAAGACGTATCCGTGGTATTTTATTGTATTCAACAAATATGAAGTTTCAAATTGAGCCCGATTAAAATTAAAAGCTGTTTTTTGTAATTAGCCTCTGTACATCTGTCGTTTGACACATCATCGTATATTATTACTAAGTGTAATTTAGGCAATTTTCAAATATTATTCTGTCCGTGTTTAAAACAAGTGTTCAAAGAAATATCATCAATCGCTCAAAATTGAATAACCAGCACAATAATGATAGTTTTTGAAATTTTAAAGGTAAGCTCATTTTAATATTATCTATGAACTGTTTTTCAATTTTATGCGATTAATGATTCTTTTCTCGTCATTCAACATCAGTTTGGTAACTTATATATCCAGTGCACTTTTTCATAAATGATACTCAGTTTATCTTTTATAAGAACCTAGTTCATTATATTAATATTTTAAGTTGTTTTTTTGTTCAATTTTCTTCAAATCTACTTTCAGTTTTTTATGAGTATTTTTACTGTTTTTCGTAAGATTTTTTTTTAAATTATATGTTATATATAAACAATTATAAATTAATGGTCAAATTTATTAATCAGGAATATGATGTTTTAGATCTATTTTCATCACGTAATTTATTATAGTATTAATGATATGAGTGATTTTTAATAAAAATTACTTTTGCATAAATTTTCATATATATACTGCTTGTGTTCTAAACATGCATCTGAAATTTCATACTTATATGTTGTCGTTAAGATATTAATTGTAACAAACAAAGAACTTCAATAATTTTACGAATTTGCAATATTACTCAAAAATTTGGTGGCAATCAAAATTTTGGATTTTCAATTTAAAAAAAATTCTTCAGTTAAAACGATAAAAATGCCTGAATTTGAACAAAATGTTCCAGTATGTTTTTTTTGTAAGAGTATTCTATTTAAAGTGGTATTGTAAGTTTATAAAATTATCAAAGCTTCTCAAGCATGAATTTCAATTCTTTTAAGTTTTATAGTGCTGCTCATAATATTGGGTGCGTATAAGTTCGAGTGTGAAAATAAAAATTTCAATATGTTAAACGTGTAATGGATTTTAATTTTTGAAAAAATCACATTTACAGCGTGAATTTTGTAATTATAACACTGGGGAACAGTAAATCTGCAGTATTAAATCCGAGAGTTATTCAAGAGTACAGGAGAACTTGAACAATTTCAGATAATGGCAAATTAATTAATTTTCATAGCATAGTCAATCAAAAAATTTTTAATGTAATTAAACATTACCACGCAACCATCAGTTCTATTTTTATTTGTGATTTTATTCGTTTATGTACGCGCCGATGATTGGACGATTATTTCAATTATTAACCTACTATATATGTCCATGTGAATTTATAAATAGGATAGTCCAGTCAATATGCAAAAAGTAGAAATCTTCATTTCGATGAACAGATAGAATAATGTTACCCAACTAGAAAATAGTGCATTGTTAACCAAGAGAGCAAAGTATGATATTTTGACCTGAGCGTAAAATTACATCCTGAGCCGAAGACGAGGGTGGCAAACACTCAGGTAAGGATATCTTACTTTGCTCCCATAGCCAACATACTATTTTTTATTATATTGTAAAATAAGACTCAATAACAACTTCGGAAAATTAGTAAATTAATTAAAATGTTTATTAATGATTGACAGCAATTAATAAAAAGAAAGAATCCGTGCGGTCAACTCAAGTCTCAGACAAAAACTGGAGATAAACAAACTCTCCCCTCGTTGCTATAAACAATCTAATCGTCAAGCAATCGTTGTTAACTAACAAACTGTCGTTAGTCTAATAGTCATTAGATGGCGACATACAAATATTTTACACTTCTCCCGATCTTCTAAAAATTGCCACCTGGCAATTCCTATTAGTTGGGTAAAAATATTGGATTAGGCTGAAATAAAAAACATGAAAAATCTAAAATTTAATTTCTAATTCGAAATTATGATAATCAAAATAATAATCATTCAGCCTAGATTCCAATATTGCCGCTTCCCAACTCTGTCTGCTTTAAAAATAAATAAAACAAATAATTAGGAGGGAAAAATCCTGCGGCGGGTAAAAACCTCCAAACAGACCAAAATGATTTAAATTAAACTAATAACGTGATTCTATACAATAAAAGATTTCTTAAGAACTAATCGTCCGTTAGTCAAATGAAAAATTAAAAATTAAAATTTCCATCTTCAATTCCCTTTTCATCCTTCTTTTTCATCAGGAGGAACCACTAGGAAGAACCAAAAGAACCCAAAGAGTAGGAAATGCCAAGAACTGGAAGGTCATTGAACTAAACAAAATAAAAGTTCCTCACAGAATCAAGGTTCTTTAAAAATTTCATTTTTAATCATAAATTTAATGTTCATTTAATAATTAGGTTGAATGGTCACATTTCATGGAGTCAATTCTCCAAATAAATTCCGACTTCGCATCCTTTTTTTAAATAAAAATCCGACTCTCAAATAAATGATTCAATATCATTAAAACAATCAATTCAATTCCACCTTGCGCAAGGAATTTTCATAAATAAGTTCAATAGCTTCTGCTCACTGTGCAAAGTAAATTATTAAAAATTAGGCTCACAGTTACGCATACTATCCGAACAAAAATATTAGGATACCATGGACATCTAGTACCTCACTTTGCTTCACTTTGGCCAATAAATGAAGAAAAGGATTCCAGTACAATGACTCCAACCGTGTATATCCTACAGTAACTCCACGAGAACGCTCCAGGACAGACATTGTGAATTTAAATCAACAATCAAATGATCAATGAGAGCCAACATTCTCAGACTGGAAGTTACAAAAACCCTGAATTCAACAGAAATTAGGAATCCAGAAAGAGTCAAAATAACTAATCATCTTCATAAGGGGCGAGTCTATTCACATGAACAACTTTCAAACGACCATTCGGAATTTTATGAATTCGAAATACAACATCATTAAGTTTGTTTTTGATAATATAAGGACCTTCCCACTCACATTGAAGTTTTGGACACTTTCCTTTAACTCTTCTAGGGAAAAATAACCAAACCTTTTGACCGACATCAAAAGAAAGAATATTAGATTTCAAATCATACATATACTTAAGTTTTTCAGATTTAATTTGCAACTTATCCCGTACATTATCATGAACAATTTTTAATTGTTCACGAAGATTAAAAACAAAATCAGTTATAGAATTATCCTCAAAAGAATTATCTGAAGGATTAATTCCTCTAAGAAGATCAATAGGCAACCTTAATTCACGACCTAACATCAACAAAGCTGGAGAATACTCAGTAGTTTCATGTTTTGAAGAACGATAAGCCAACAAAAATAAAGAAATCCACTTATCCCAATCTTTTTGATTCTTACTAATAAATTTGGACAAATATTGAAGAATAGTCCTATGCAACCTTTCAACTAAACCATTTGATTGAGGATGAAGAGGTGTGGGTCTTGTCTTCTTAATACCAAAAAGACTCATGACCTCCTTGAAGATTTCAGATTCAAATTCTCGACCCTGATCAGAATGAATTTCAATAGGAATACCATATCTACAAAATATTTGAGTTACTAAAGCCTCAGCAATAGTAGAAGCCTGATGATTAGGCAGAGGAATCGCCTCAGGCCATCTAGTAAAATAATCTGTAACAACAAGTAAAAATTTATTTCCAGAAGAGGTTTTAGTAAGAGGACCAAGAATATCAATGGCAATCCTTTCAAAAGGAGAACCAACATTATAAATTTGAAGTTGACCACAAGACTTTTTATGGGGATCCTTTTTAGCGAAACAAACTTTGCATTTTTTACACCAAATCTCAACATCTTGCTTAAGAGTTGCCCAGAAAAATCGTTGACGAATTTTTGAAATCGTTTTATTAATACCAAAATGACCACCAGAAGGAGAATTATGAGCCTCATGAATTATTTCATTCACTTTAGCTCGAGGAATGACAACCTGATAAATAATATGAGAAAGATTTGGAGCTTCCCAACGTTTAACTAAAACACCATTTTTCAATTCTAAAGAATTCCAATAAAGTAAATAAATTTTAAAAGTAGAATCCAAATGTGAAACATCATTAAACTCGGGAACTTTATTTTCCTTTTTGAATTTAATAATTAAACTCAAAATGTTATCATTATTTTGAAATTTAATCCAATCAGAATCATTATTAATTTCACAAATGACACGGAAAATATGCCTACTATCACATTTTTCATCAGAATCTATTTTCAGACATTTTTTACAATCACATGGACGCCGAGAAAGACCATCAGCATTGCCATGTTTATGACCAGGTCTATGTTGAACTTCAAAATCATATTGAAATAAGATTTCAAACCAACGAGCTATTTGATCTTGAGGATTTTTGAAAGAAAGTAACCAAGTGAGAGAGGCATGATCAGTTCTAATAGTGAACCTCTTGCCAAGAAGAAAATGACGAAAATGTTCAACAGAAATAACAACAGCTAATAATTCTTCCCTAGTAACACAATAGTTACGTTCTCGATTATTTAAAGTCTTACTGAAGTAAGCAATAACTTTTTCTTCATAAACAGTCTCACCATTATTATTAACTGGAATCTTTTGAGATAACACAGCACCAATGCCAACATTTGAAGCATCAGTATCAAGAATAAAAGGATAATTTGGATCAGGATAACCCAAAATTGGAGTAGAAGTCAAAATTTGTTTCAATTTTTGAAACGTTTGAAAAGCTAAATCATCCCAAATAAAATCTTTCTTTTCCTGACTAATAAGATATAAAGGTTTTGCAATAGTAGCAAAATCTTTGACGAATTTCCTGTAATAAGAACAAAGACCTAGAAAACTTCTAAGTTCAGATTTATTCTTAGGAACAGGCCAATTAATAATAGCAGAAATTTTATCTGGAGAACTTTTCAGTCCTTTACCAGAAACTACATGTCCAAGGAAAATAACTTCTTTTTGGAAAAATATACATTTCTTAGGATTTATCTTAAGAGAAGCTTGTAAAAGTCTTTCAA